TTATGTATTAGAGTAATCTAATACATTGAAGAGCCACCCAAGAACGGTTAACGCAAATACAGCAAAATCTAACACTACAGTGATGTAAAGTAACTAATCAAAAATACTCAAATTACTGTAACTTAGTAGTTGTTCTCAGAAATTGTAATTTACTAAGTAGTTTTAAAAAATGTTTACTTTTACTTTTCTTTGTGTACTTTTACTCCATTACTTTCCTTCAACTTGCAGACTTTTTTTCTCTTGTCTATGAGGATTAGAAAAATCAGTCCTGTTTTTCCTGTCCAATCAAATCACACATATAAGGTGAATCGCATCATAATGAACAACCTCAAGACATGGGCAATTTTATAATAGCAGCAAACTGTTTGAAAGCATTAAAAGTGTCTAAGAAGATGTTTAAAATCACGTAATGACCCAGTGATTGTTTAGATGCATGTCACTGATGAGAAGATGACGGATGTTTACTGTAAGATGACCAAAATGGCCTTAAACACCCAGCAGGCACAAGACATCAACATGACATCAGATTGAAGTTGTACCCCAACATAGGGGAAACAAAAATCGGGTTGATGTCAGAACCCAATGTCAGGCCTACTGTACGTCAATGTTCAACATCCAACCTAAAATCAACCAAATATCAACGTCTAATGATATTAAAGCTTGACGTTGTGGGGACGTTACCACTATGACGTCTATCAGATGTTGGATTCTGGTTGCCATACCTGACGAATAAATGTCAGTAGTTGACGTCAATATGACGTTGGTTTAAGATGCTGGCTCGACTTTGGATTTTGGTCACTTTCTAACAACCTTTTTTCTAACAATTATTGGACATTAACATAACCTTGTCTTTAGACGCTGGATAGACATAAAATTTTGGTCACTTGACATCACAACCTAAATCGAACCTAATATTAACGTCTTATGATGTTGTGTGCCTGCTGGGCAATAACTAGATGCACTACAGAATGTTACGTTTACACACACATTCACAAATCACATGTAAACGCATCTGCTTTTTACAGTGTATTACTCACTACTCGAGTACTTTTGAAAGGGCTACTCTTTACTCATACTTTGAGTAATACTCACAACAGATACTTTTACTCTACTTGCACAACATTTTTGGGTAAGTAATGGTACTTTTACTCGAGTATAATTTTTCAGTACTCTTTCCACCACTGGTAACTACAGTGTATGTACACACTGGTACATAGTATTTACTAGTGTAATACTAGTGTAAGTACACACATGTAACAACCCACTGAACAGTATGTGTAAGTTCAAAGGTGTAACAGGACATTGGTAACAACACTAAGAAAGTACACATCTGTAACAAGAACTATGTAAGCGCATTGCGTAAAAACAATATGTACTTGCTGGTGGTTTTCCCACTCCCACACCTGTTTGCATACTATGTACTTGTGAACATTGTATGGCAGAACTAATTCTGCATTATAAGGTTTCACCTTGTGGTACCAGTGTAGGCTTGGGTGGTAATACGGTAATATGGTATACCGCGGGATCTAAAAATAGCAACTGTGTCAGTTTTAATATCGTTATACCGTCATAAAAACAATGCACTTAAATAGGAGACAAGTATTAAATATTAAAATTATTTATTTAATGCCTACAAATGGTTATGCGTGATTGTCATCACGGGAAAGTGTGGAAGAGAGAAAGAGAGAGAGGGAGAGGTGGCGAGTCGCGTACCAAGTGACCTGCAGTTTGGCAGTATTTCCGAACGAGAAGGGAGACGTAGTAAATACGAACTAGAGGTCTGCATTCCGCGGGACTCGACCAGATTTAGTGCAGTGTGGGAATGAGTTTCCGAATAAAGCGTGGGGCGGGAGCGGCCGGTAACTCTGGTGTAATTTGAAAGGATTCCGCGTGGATGCTGTTTGTGTGTGTGTGTGTGAGAATGAGAGAGAGAGAGAGCATAGTGCTGTGCGTATCTCTCTCTCTCTCTGTGTGTGTGTGTGTGAGTGAGAATGAGAGAGCGAGAGAGCATCCTGCACAGATCTCTACAAACAAGACAAACAGGTGACCGCGAGCCTGAGGTCACATATACGGTATTCAGTTTCTGAATGGTTTAGGCACAAGCCAACAGTTTGATGACGCTGTCTGAGCCTTACGCCATAATTTTTTTAAAATTATGCACGGTAATATCGGGGTAAAATAGGGAGGAGGTTTGACGGTATCAAAATTTGGATACCGCCCAAGCCTACACCAGTGTACTACTTACACACTACTTATACACACCTTGTTACCATGTAAGTTCACTAGTATAAGCGACACTTAATATAAAGTGGGACCCACAATGCTCTACAACTAAACTATGTTAGCCTCGTAGCCTCAGTCTGTACTCAAAATTTCAACAGGTGTTTGATTGGTTTACCTTCACCCAGTCCTCCATGTCTCCATCCTCAATCACCTCCAGCATCTCCTGCTCATCAATGGTGAGTTCATCGGGCTGTGAAGCCTGAGAGAAACACACAGATATGAGGATATTGTGTAATGCAAGTTCAGTCGTGCAAGGTCATATTTTACCACCAACCTGATTTCGCCAAGTAGGACAGGTTTCTGGATTAACATCTATGTTGATATTGGAACTAAATTCCAATCAGCCAATCAGAATTAAGGGATCCGTTTACAGTTTATGTTAGGCTTATGGTTAGGTTCATACACTTCTACATGATTGTTGGTCCCTTCTGATTTCGGGAATAAAATTACCAGATATTATATATCTGAGATATATATATATATATATATATATATCTATAACCAGAGTTATGGTTGGGTTTAGGGGTAGGGAATAGGTATGGATCACATTTTCCAACAAAAAAGATGTTCCAAGATCAACATAGATGTTAATCCAGGATCACAGCGTGCTTGACATAATCATGACGTGCATATTTTACAGAAACCAGCATTTTCCACAAACAAGAGAACGATCCTGCATGACAGCAAAACACAGCGATCATTTTAATCACATCCCCAATTGCTTGAAAGAGGATTACTTCAGTTTTAAAACACTTCTTCAGCATGGTGAGGGACAAAATTACTTTATTTTATTTTATGGTACAATTATTGCTATTAATAAACCATTAACTAAGACTTTTAGCTCAATAAACTGCTCATTTGCTGCTTAATAATAGTTAAGTAGTATTTTTGTAAGAATAAGATCATGAGGAATATGTGCTTTATAAGTACTAATAAACAGCTAATTTCTTAATAATATGCTAATCAGCAACTAGTAGACATTGAGAATTGCTCCCTATACTAAAGTGTTAGCAGAATCAAACAGAATGCATTATAGAGAAGCCAACGGTGATGCTTTCAGGTGCATAAAAAAAAAAAAATAATAATATTATATATATATATATATATATATATATATATATATATATATATATATATATATATATTTTTTTTTTT